GTCCAGCGCTAGTCGGAGGTGCACTGCTTGGTGGTCGGAACCAAGGTCGGGGCAAGTAGTAGCGAATGCATCGAACACGAGGTGCCGGGCCTTCCGGTCCACGAGTATATAGTCTATCTGTGTTTGTGCATGCATAGAGCCAGCGTGCGCGTACGTGAAGATATTTTCTGGGCGCTTGCAGAACATCGTGCTCGCGATGGTGAATTTCCGCACGCAGGCCCACGATCGTAGCCAAGCCCCACGTTGGTTGCACATGTCCACACCGTATTTCCCGAGAGTGTGCCGGTCCAGTTCGTTGGCATTGCCGTCGTCGTCACTGCCGCATGTTATGCCGACGTTTGCATTGAGGTCTTCTGTGAGTACGGTCGTGAATTTCTGCTGTTGGGCATCGGCGTGGATCTCTGTGAGCACGTCGCACACGGTCTGCACGTGCTGGTCTCCGTAACCCCCATGTGGAAAATAAGCTGTGATGATCCGTAGTGAGTGCTGCCCGATGTCGAGGTCGATGTATGCGATCCACTCGTTCACTGGTTTGAATATTCGCATTCCTCGCGCGTGCCGTTTGCGAACAAGAAAAGCAATTCCACGAGTTGGAGGTTCATGCCCTGAAGCTGCAAATATATGCGCGCCAGGTTCCGTGACCCAATACTCCCGCTTTTCTGTCCTCCACGTTTCATTGAGCGCCACAACGTCCCAGCGTACGTCCGAGAGCTCGCGCACAAGTAGGTCAACCGCTGAGTCGCTAGTGAGGCTCAGGGCATCTTTATTTATGATTGTGAAGTTACTCTGCCGTGGAGTAACCGCTGTTGTTGCGAATGCTGTTTGGAGGTATGTTTTGTCGGATGGAGGTGAAAGGATGGAAGTTGGATGTCGGGATGCTGAGGCAGTGGAGGTTGGAGGTCGATAGGTGGCGGGAAAAGAATGTCGAATGCCGTGGGCTGAGGAGGAAAAACAGATTGTGGACCCTGGATGTTGGAGCGCTGAACTGGTGAAGGTTAGACGTCGACAGGTGGAGGTTGAGGCGGGGGTGGAAGGTCGGATGCTGGAAGGTGGAGGTCGTAATGCCGAGTGGGTGGTCGCTGGGGGTCGAACGGTGGGCTTGGAATGCGCGATGTAATTGTCGAGGTCGGAGACTGTGTGACCACCGTCGGGTGCAGCTGAGAAGAGTGCGTCTGTCGCAGGACCGTAGGTACGTCACCCTCTGTAGAGCTGTATCGCCCGCGTCCTCCGCCAATACTGCGTCGAGATGCTCGCTGTTGCAATTGCATATATGCTCTTCTGGCCGCATTCGAAAAAAAAACATGTCCTCCAAGGTCTTAGACCGCATGCCGTCCGACCCCGGGTCGCAAGGTTGAGCGCCATGTAGGCTGGGATCTTGCTGATGATCTAAGGTCCTCTCTAGTGCCTCAAGGGCTCGCCTGGGTGCATCAGGAAACGGATCAAGATCGCTCGCGTCGTTGCCACCCGTCTTGTGGGTCCCTTTGGGGGGGGGGCGAAGCATGTGAGTTTGGGAACAAAGCCAGATGCGTCGTGCGAACTCCACGATCGCGAGTAGAGTCGAGCTCGATGGATGAGTCGAGGATGTTTTCTGCCTCCTGCAAGCGCGGCCGAGGGCGCCCGCGCTCCCCGCGCGGTGGGCCTATCGAACCAGAACAGCGGCTACGGAGCGGAACGCTGCTAGGGGCCACCGGTGCCCTTTTGGGGTCGGCACGGGAACTGAAAAGGGCACCGGTGCCCTTTTGGGGTCGGCACGGGAACTGAAAAGGGCACCAGCACTCCTAGGGGCCCCAGGGGGCCTACAGGGCGCTCACGGGTAGTTCGCGTTCGCACTCATCTTCTCTCTCTTCGGTGCTCCTCACTCACTGCCCATTGCCAACACGCTCGCCCATCGTCCAGTCAGCTCCCGGATCCCACTCGCTCCCGACAGCCGGAACGAACCTCGGACCGTCCTCGGGGTCCGGCACGAACTGCTGCGGCACCTCCAGGATCCTGTCGCGCATGACCGGGTGGTTCTCCAAAGACCACGTCACACTCTCCATGATTGCGTCCATTCCTTCGGCGTAGCCCTCGTCGGTCGGCAGGTTCATCTTCGTCATGACGTCCTCGGGCTCCTGCTTGTGAGGCTTCTCCGTCTTGCTCCGCAAGAACTCCGTTGCTGGCGACTCGATCTCCATCTTCGGCTTGCCGTCGGGCGGCGCGCTCTGCCACGCCACGCACGCCTTCTCGAGCCCCACGAGCGTCCCGCGAATATCGTCCTCCACCGCGGCGGCCGCCCACACCTGCACATTGCTGGTACTGACGACGCACTGCAGTGTCACCATGGCGTTGCCCTTCTTGGCCGGCACGCTCCCCGAGAGAGACTTGACCGGCACCTTCGCCCTGACCTTGGTATCCGCCACCACGGATAACGAGAGTTCCGGGTAGACGTCCATCAGGCCGAGCAGGAACGCCCTGGCCTGCTCGTCGCTGCCCGCCACCTCGAACAGCACCATTCTGCAGGCCCGGAGGCGGGCCAGGGGCACCGGCACGGCAAGCGCGAGCAGATTTCTCAGCATGAGCCTTAGCCAAAGTGACGGATTCATCTGCCAACTGGTACGCCGACGCTCTCAGACATGCTCTCAACACATCCGCTGCTTCTGCTCGATCTTTCGTCAACGCATCTCCTAGCATGAGCTCTGTCGGGCCCCGGCGAAGAGCAACACCAAACCTCCGGAGGCTCCCTTTGGCTATGGCGATGTCTATGGAGGCCTTCTTGTCGTCGAGCCCTGTGGGGCCCCCTGGCTTGGTCACGTGATCGAACACCGACTTGCAGTCGATAACGCTGATGGCCGAGAACTTCCTGGAGTACTTGTCCCGGTTCTCCAGACAGAACATGGGGCACAGGGTGGCCGCGAAAGCGCACATAATCCACTCCAGGCGACCCAGGGAAGCCTTGAGAAGCATACTTCCCCCCGCCAACGTCGACGCACACCCCTGCTTGATCTTCTGAGACTTCCAGACCAGAGTGCGCCAGGGAGCCAAGAGACCCTTAGCCATGAAGGGATCCGTTGCACCTATGATGTACCCGCCCTGCGTCCTACCAGTCCCATCTAGGTCCTTCGACGAGTAGTCCGAGTGGCACACGAAACGCAACCGCTCTGGAGGGATACTCAGGAAGGTGATCGAGATCTCGTGAAACTGCTTCGCTCTCCTCACCCACGCATTCGATATCCGAATATGTCCGACCGTAGGGTTAGGCATGATCTGCTGGGAGAACGAAATCTCGCAACTCAAGTCGGGCCTCGTTTGGCCCGCCACCCAGTCTCCCTGCTGCGTAGTCGAGATATGATTGTGCACTTCGAACGGCTGGGCCACATCATCGGGTCGGGCCGACCTCCTAGTTTTAGCTGGACTGATCCCTTTCGTGTACTCCGACGGCGATTGGACGATCGAGTAGTCGGCCCGCTGGGCGAGGACCGATCCCGTGAACTCACCGCTGCCCGTCACCCACTTCCTGAAGGGGAATCTCGCTCTCAGCTTTTTCATCGCACTACCCCACAACTGCCCACGACCACCGTTGACCTGATCGTCAAAGTGCACTCCGAGGATGCCGCACAGCGCGCCCGGCTCGCCGCGAAGCTGCGCACGCTCAGGACCCGTGGCATACGGGATCACGGACACCCGGTCCCTGGCCACGAGGTGGGCGCTCTCCTGCGTCAACGGCTCCCTCAGCAAAAACACGCACGGGTCCATCGGGTGCTGGTCAAACTTCAGCTCCCCCATCATGAACCGCTCGAACGTGCGCCACCACTGCTGAGGTTGATCTCCAAGCCCGTGCCCGTTGATCACCTCGAAGAGCTGCTCTGGGTGGTGACCCTTCAGCGTGTAGTCCTTCGGCATCGTCACATAGATCGGGCCGTTTGGCCTCGCTTCCGGCTCGGCCACCAGGAGCGCCGACTTCACATCGCCGATCGTCATCTCGAACTTGCACGACGCCAGTGTCTGCAGGAGCATCGCGCGCCCGTTGGTGGACATGGTGGGGCTTGCCGTCCGCCCCTCACGCACCAGGTCCAGGATGTCGGAGCCCTTGAAGCCCTGCAGCGTGCACCGGCACTTGACCTCGCCCTTGCCGTCGTCGCCGGATCGCAACGTCAGCACCGGCCTCGGGCGCAAGATCCGCTCCGGCACCTGCGTCTTCAGCAGCCGCGACGTCTCCAGGTCCACCGGCTTCCACGCCTCGGTCTCATGCACCAGGCTCGTCGTCTCCTTCTCGTACGCCCTCTCGATCATCGCGCGACCCTGGGGCGATTTCCACTTTTCCTCCTTGACGTTGATCTCCTTGATACCCTGCGCGAGTAGGACGCCCACCACGCCCACGACGATGTCCTCGCCCACGTCTTCCGCCAGGTGGGCGTCCGCGGAACCCAGGAGCGGTGGACTCGGCAGGCTCGGCGGATACACCAACTCCTCCGAACTGCTGCTGACCGCTGGCCGAGCTCGAGCCGCCGGCTGACGCCCCGGCAGTCGCCTGCCCCTCCAACCTCGGGCGCTTGGCCTCGTCTGGCTCCTCGAGACCCCCCTCCATCTGGCCCTCAGCTGGCTGGTGCGCCTCGCCCATGGTCCGCTTGTCCACCGTCTGCTCGCCGCCTCCGCCCAGTGGGATGCTCCGCCTGATCATCTTCAGCATCAGCAGCTTGATCATCAGCTGCCTGGTCCCCCACGTCCGGCGCCCCCCCTGGTGGCGCCTGATCTTCTGGACGCGGAGGTGCCTCTTCACCAACCTCCTCCGGGGGCCGCTCGCCACCCGCGATGTCCTCGAACCTCTGGCCGCTGTACTGCTCCAGGTCCACCATCTTGGTCCTCAGCTCTGCTTCCACCATGCGCCGCGCGCGTCGCTCTTCGCGCACCGCAGGTCTCATTTGCTCCGGTGCTGCCTTCACCACCGCGCCTGGTAGCGCCACCCAGTAGTTGCCGCGCACCTCGCCCATGCAGATTCCTGGCCGCCACCTGCGGTGAGCTCGCTAGTTGGGAATGCCCTTGTTCTTCATCATGCGCCACGCCGCCACCACGTCGCCAGGCCGGTACCTGGCCACGACTCTAGGTCGAGAGTCTAGCGCCCGCCGGGCCGCCAGCATGTCCTGCTGCATGAGCACCTTCACGCGGGCGATCGCCCTGATCCGTGCCTGCTGCGCCGCGACCGGGTCATTCACGATCGCGCTGTTGGTGATCAGGTCGGGGCTATCCATCAGCAAATCGCCCGGCACCTCCGGGTTGCGACCGAAGACCACCTGCATCGGTGACGCCCCGGTCACCGACAAGAGACTGTTCTTAGCCAGCACCAGCTCCGTCACACACTCGCGCCACTCCGTCTCTGTCTGCGGCTGCGCCTCCCTGGTGACGTCCTCGAGGATGATCTCGAACACCTGGTTGTGATGCTCGATCTTGCCGTTCTGCTCCTTCGCACCTCCCGCCGCGTCGACCGCCTATCTCCTGGCGCTCGCACCAGTTGGTGAACTCGTCGCTGATCTGGGCCCTGTGGGGGTCCACCTCCAACCACTTCGGGCGGATGTATGGACGGACACACGCTCGCTCGAACGCGTCCACGAGGTTCTTCGACGTCTCGTCTCCGATTGGCCAATCCTCGGCTCCACCTGGCGCAGCGAGCTTGTCTCATCTATGATGCCCAGGCACGTGATCCGCTCGCCCGGGATCCAGCTCGGCAGGTCCTTGCAATCCATACTCACGTACTTCAGGGGCAGATGGGCCTCTGCCGGCGCACTGCGCCGAGCGACCTTCGGGCACTTCATACCCTCACACTCCGGGCAGTAAAACTCCTGGGCCGCCTTGATCGCCTGCTCCGCGGCATGCGCGCGTCGAAGGTGTCGCACCAGCACGTTGTTTTTGCAGTGCCCCAGTTGGACGCGCAGCTTCCGGAGGCTGTTCTCGATTGAACTGCGAGGCCGACGCAAGACATCCCGCGTCTCGTCCGCGCCCTCCTCAATCACCTCGTGCTCTCCTTCCTCCTGCACTGCTGCGCACCCGGCCTCTGGGTCGGACGCCACCACCTGGCACTGCCGCGGCATGCCTCGCACGATGGCCTCCACCAGCCTCCGGGGATACCTCTGGCTGAACACCGTGCGCTTGACACCACACTTCAGCATGCCCTCAGTGTGCTGATGCTCGTGTCCCCCTTCGCACCCCCGGTGGACTGCCCTCGCCACCTCCGGCGCCGACGTCACAAACTCCCAGCTCTTGGGCACTGATCAGCTTGAGGGCGTCTGGGCATCTCAGACCGAACTCACAGCCGCTCGCAATTCCCACGCACACGCCCTTCGTCTGCAGCAGCTGCCGCATCACGGGCACCTGGAGGCTAGCACACCTCAGGGGGGTCTCATAAACAAAATGCCTGCCCCGCTCCATCTGGTGGATCGCCACCTCCACGACCGCGCGCACGAAGCTCACCGACCATTTCACTTCCACGACGTGCTGCGCCAGGTTTCTCCGGCGCTCCAAAAGCGCACACTGCTGCGTGATCGTCAGTTTCTGGCACGGAGGGCGCACGTGCACGAAGTGCGGCTCGTCCTCGATGATGCGCCGCCACATGGCCTCGTAGTCGCTGTCCTTGTCCACGTCCCAGCCGCGCGCCTTGTCGAGGCTCTGACCCCAGGAACCCCGACCTCGCCGCTACCGGCGCGATCCGCGGCGGGGAGAACAGCTCGGTCACCATCCCCCCGGCCTGTGGGCACCGACCCCGCCCCACTGAAAAGTCGGAGCGCCCTCGCTCTCGGCCACTTTCTGCACGCGCACCGCCGACTCATGCATCTGCCTCCGGGTCCTCTTCTCCCGATTCAGGAAGTCGATCTCGCAGTGACCTGCCGCCGTCTCGTTCAAAGGGATCGCGATGTCAAGCCACTTCAGGTACATCGAATCCGTCTCGAGGTCGATGGCCGCCCCCAGGGCTTTGAGGTCTGGCTTGCTCATCAGAAGCCCGCGGAACCGGGCACCACGTACACCGCGAACGTCACGATGTAGTTCTTGATCGCCCAGTCCAGCTCCACCGCACCTATGGACTCCTGCACGCCGTTGTCGAGCCCTCGGAACCGCATCGGCCTGACGTCCTTGAGCCACTTGGCCTTCTTGCCGGTTGCCGCCTCGTGCTTCATCAGCGTCTCCTCACCGATCAGGGTCTTGCAACACCCCGTGTCTGGGACCGAGCACCCGTCAGAATGCGCCACCCCTAGGACCGTACCCTCCTCGGTGGCCTTTACCTCGGGCGTCGCGTCGTCGTCCTCCTGCTTCTCCTTCATCCCATGCTCCAGCCTCTTCCACCGCTCCTCCTGGATGAGCTTCGCCAGCACGTTGTCCTCGTGGACCTTCAGGATGCTGTTGATCTCGTCGTCCAGGTTGTCCTCGAGGCAGGGCTGCACCATCTCCACTCGCACTTCGCCAGCAGCTTCTGGCTCCATCGGCTCTGCGATCACCATGCCGGCGCCGTGAGCAGGAAGAGCCTCCTTGCAGTCCCGGCTGAAGTGACCGATATTCTTGCACCGAAAGAACTTCACCCGCCGGCCGAGCTTGTCGAGGTCATGCCGCGTAGGCCCGCTGGGGCCTGGGGGCCGCGCCTTCCACCCGGGCCTCAGCCCGCGATCCAACCTTTCCTTGTTCATGGCCACTCGTGTCTGCTTCCAAGTCGCCAGGATCTCCACCGCATCTGACTCCTCGATGGGCTCCGCAGCCTGGACGATCGCGTCAATCTCCTGGGTGACATCGTCCTCGGCGCCCTCCTCCTGGTAGGGCTCGGGCGGCGGGGGGGCCTCGCTGTCCACGAACTCCTCCTCCACCGCGCACGCCGCCTGCGTGAGCCTCTCCGGGGGGATCCCCGGGAAGGCCGTCCTGATCGCCGTGCACACCTCGTCCACGTTCCAGCTCAGGTGGGTCGCCGACATCACCGTCGCCCGGCCGAAGTTGCCCAACCTCGCGCCGCGCAGGATCAGGTAGCCCCTCGCGACCGACGGGAGGTCCACGCCCTCCGTGGGCAACCGCGCGAACACCAGCTGCGCACGCCAGGTGTAGGCCTCCGTGGTCTCCTGCTTCTGGATCCGCAAGCTGAAGCCGTCCTCCATGGCCTCACCCAAGCGATCCGCCGCAACCTTGTCGGGGAACCGCTCGTCGAGGCGAGCGAACACCACCTCCTCACCCGACTCGACGTTGATCTCCGACAGGTCCACGTTCTCCACCGCCAGCGCCGCCTGGCCGTCGAGCAACGTGTACAACCACGGGCCCAGCGCCTCGGCCGGCGTGTTCCTCGCCGTCTGCACCACTACCGCCGCCTTGGCCCACCTCTTCCATACTTTGTAGGCCGCCGCGCCGTCGTTCCCGTCGCCGCTGAACCGCTTCGTGTTGAAGCCGCCGTTATCCGCCATCGTCCGGGTGACAGGCTCCTGCCTAATCACCAGCTCCTCACTCGCACTTGGCTCAAGCCACTGCGAACTCCACGATCGCGAGTAGAGTCGAGCTCGATGGATGAATCGAGGATGTTTTCTGCCTCCTGCAAGCGCGGCCGAGGGCGCCCGCGCTCCCCTCGCGGTGGGCCTATCGAACCAGAACAGTGGCTACGGAGCGGAACGCTGCTAGGGGCCACCGGTGCCTTTTTGGGGTCGGCACGGGAACTGAAAAGGGCACCGGTGCCCTTTTGGGGTCGGCACGGGAGCTGAAAAAGGCACCAGCACTCCTAGGGACCTCAGGGGGCCTACAGGGCGCTCACGGGTAGTTCGCGTTCGCACGTCGGGTCGATATTCGCCGGGTCGGAGATGAGGTCAGTGTGCGAGGAGAGCGATATGACTTGGTTGTGACTGGACGCGAAAGCGGGGGAGGTGTCCTAATCTGAAAGAGGAGGGAGGTCGGCGGGGGAGGACGAGGAGGAGCAGTGAGGGGACGAGGGAGAGGGAAGAGGGGGTAAGGGGAATTGAGGGGTCTCTCCCTCTCTGGAGTCTCTGCATGATCGCGCAGCGATACGAAAGGTCCGCCAGCACCGAAAGGGTGATGATTGTTCCTCTGGACTTGCTCAGCTCTGCTGAGGACTTTGGACCATACGTCTTACGGTCGGACCTAAAGCAGAAACACATCCTTCAAGAACACGAGACCCTCCGCTGGCCAAACTGAAGAACCTCCGAAGGAGTAATTCACCAGCCGGCACAAGAACATGCAACGAGCACGAAGAATATCAGGGCACCCTCCCCGAACCATCCTCGATCTGATCCCCCTGGTCAGCCGTGAGTACTCCTCTCCCCGCTGCTCTGGGGGGCTCGCACAAGGAGGGGAAGGGGGGTGGGTGGGGGGGAGGGGGCAGCTGGCGGCCGGGGAAGCGCGAGCGGCGGCGGGAAGGGCGGGGGAGAGGCCGCGCGCCAGCGCCGGCCTGCTCGTGCAGCCAGACCTGGATGCGGGAGCGGTTCTGCAGGTACCTCTCCAGCCGGGGGGGGGGGGGGGCAAGAAAGGGGGGAGAAGTCACTGCGACAGCGCGGGGCAGGAGAGGCGCTCTTCCGCTGGCCTCGCTCGGCGACGAGACCCCGCTCGGACCCGCTGGAGCGCTCGCGCACGTGCCTGAGCCTCGAGCACGAGGAAGCTGTGGAACAGAGAGCGGCACCTCTCCCCGCGGGGACTGGGGGAGGGAAGGGGGAGGAAGGGGTGTGTGCGTATGTGTGCGTGCGTGCGACGCGGGGCTGGGGCGACGGCCGCGCTCCTGCAGTGCAGCTACGCGAGTGGGTGGCGCATAGACCTCACGAGGACCCGCCACGCACGCCACCACTCGACCTAGCCCCCTTGGTTCAGAAAAGGTCGAGACCCACCCCGAGAAAGGGAGGAAGGGAGGAGGGAGGAGGGAGGGAGGGAGGGACCGAGCTTCGGTTTCTCCTCTTTCCTGCCGCTACACCTCCTCTGCTGCCCCTCCTCCTTTCCTTGTTCCTCTTCCTACTCTCCTCGTCCTACTCTCCTCCACCTCCTTTCCCTGTTCCTGTTCCTACTCTCCCCTTCCTCCTCCCGGACCCCCTCCCTCCCTCCTCATCCTCCCCCTTCCCCCTCTCCTCCTCCATGCCCACACTCACCCATTTTCCTCCCGACCCACCCCCTTATCCTTTCCTCCATGGGTAAGCTCCTCCCCGTCGCACACCCAGAACTTGTCGGTAGGGCGGGCCGCGCGTTTCGCCTCGCCTCGGACTTCCTCCCGACAATTTATGACCCTGAAGCTTCAAATGTACGACAGTTGCACGAGGAGGGGGATCGTCTCAAAATTGGGTTCCCGCCCTCAGCGCCGCGCGCATTCGTGGTAAAAGCTGGCAACAGCTACAGGGATGGAGGGTGGCTCCCTTTCCAACTGAGACTCTCGCCTCAGCGCCGCGAACAATCGTCTTAAACCTTAAAACGATATATCATATGCTGGCTCCCCTCGGGGAACCAGTAGGCTGCGAGACGGAGCTTCCCCTGTTCCCTGCAACAGTTCGCGTTCCCGATGTTCTAGTTACGCACGTTTTCACACGCAACTCCAATGTTGTGATGGATTAAGTCCGCGCGAGGACTCCAGGAGGCATTCAGAATTTCGGGGGGGGGCCTGGGGCACGTCAAGAACAGCAGACTCGCGCTCTCAAGGCTTTAATCACCACTGCTCATTACTGAGCAATCGCGCCCCCAAAGGCAAACACCTTCACACAGTTACAACGAATTTCGAATTCGCACCCCCGAAGACACAATCCCCTTCAAAGTATGAAGCTATCGCGCTCCCGAGGCCACAACCCTCATGCAAATTACATCGAGCGCGCGCCCCCGAAGACTTAATCTCTGGCGCATTAAAACGAACTCGCGCTGCCGAAACCAGGGAGAGAGAGAGAGAGAGAGCAGCTTCCACGGCCACCAGCCTGAAACATATAGCTTGGGAGGGTCCCAGAAATCAGGCCCCCCCCCCCCCAACAACAAAAAAAACACCTGGGGCCGCCCCGAGACCGCCCCCCCCCAAACCCATCCTGACCCAACCCCCCCTCCCCCCAGGGAATACAACAGAGAGACGAACCCTTCCCTCCTGGAGCAAGGGGGCGGGGGGTGGTCGAACCCACCCCTTCCCCCCTTCCATGGGGGGAGGGTTTGGGACACCCCCCCCGTACGCGCTGCTGGCAGAAGACGATGGCGAGCATGGCGGTAGAAAACGACAACACGACGACGACGACGACGACGACGACGACGACGACGACGACGACGACGACAACAACCACAACAACCACAACAACAACAACAACAACAACAACCATTTTAAGGCTGTGCGCTCTTACTTGCCCGCGGGTCATTCAACACGTATACCATACACCCTCGATACCCGCCCTCTTCGTCTTCGATCACACCCCTTTCGGGGGGATTATTTCTCTTTGCTGGGGCCGGCGGGCTTAGACGTACGGGCAAACCGGAACGGGCGGACAATCCTTCGGGGGCGTACATCTCTCTGCCCGCCATTGGAATTGGCGCGGGCCCTGCAAGAGGAGGAGGGGAAGAACGAGGGAGAGTGGGAGGAAGGGGAGGGGGAAGGACGAAGGAAGAGGGAAGATACCACGTTGTGAAGGCGTCCTTGGCGCGCGCGTGGTTCCTGAGCGCCGAAACGCAATTCCAGAATAATTTGTGAGGACGTCGCACGCGAGAGCGCAGTCCTGAGTACATTGTGAGGAAATCTCAGGCGGAAGCGGGGGCCCTGACTAAGTTGCGAGGAAGTCTCAAGCGGGAGCGCCGTTCCTGAGCAAATTGCACGGAAGTCTCAGGCGGGAGCGGGGGTCCTCACTAAATTGCGAGGAAGTCTCAGGCGGGAGCGCCGTTCCTGAGTCAATTGCGCGGAAATGTCAGGCAGGAGCGGGGGTCCTGAGTAAAATTCGAAGAAGTCTCACGCGGGAGCGCCGTTCCCACGTAAATTGCACGGAAGTCTCAGGCGGGAGCGGGGGTCTTGATTACATTGCGAGGAAGTCTCAGCGGGAGCGCCTTTCCTGAGTAAATTGCGCGGAAGTCTGAGGCGGGAGCGGGGGTCCTGAGTAAAAATCGAGGAAGTCTCAGCGGGAGCCGTTGTTGTTGTAGCCCGGGGGGCAGGGGCACAGTTTGAGCAGGAAGACTTTCCTTAAGAAAAAACAAGGCGCGAGCCCCGGGGGTGGCACTTCAATCGAAAAAAAACAATGTGCACCGGTGGGGGGGATCAACAATAATTATTCTTCAAGAATGAGAGCTCAACAACAACAACAACAACAACAACAACAATCACTTTACCCGAACGCTCAGTGTTCTCACCAGTGCCAGGGTTTTCATGCGACGCCAGCCAATACCCCCACTTTGTGGGGGGGCAGTGCAAGCTCTACCAAATATCCACACGACTCTTCGCCACCACCCACACCCAGCTTCCCGCCCTATGACGTTCGGACACTTCACTTCGTGGCCTGCGGACGACCGTGGCTACTACACTGGCGTGGAGTACACACCCACAGAAGTTGTTAAGCCTACGTTCGTACACCCACAGAAGTTGTTAAGCCTTGTTAACCCACAGAAGTTGTTAAGCCTTCCACAGAACATCTGTTGCATATGATGCATATGGTACATGATACACATGATACACATGATACGTACTCACAAGATAGTTGATCACATCTTTAGGGCAAATTCCTGAGGGATGTGGGAATACACAAGAGAGAGAGGATATGGTTGTCCCGATGGTTGTCTCGATGGTTGTCCCGATGGTTGTCCTGATGGTTGTGGTTGTCCCGATCGTTGTCCCGATGATTGTCCCGATGGTTGTCCTGATGGTTGTGCTTGTCCCGATCGTTGTCCCGATGACTGTCCCGATGATTGTCCCGATGGTTGTCCCGATGGTTGTTCCGATGGTTGTCCCGATGGTTGTCCCGATGGTTGTGAGCGATGCCGGATCCTCACGCCCCCCGCCGGAGGAGGAGGAGGAGGAGGAGCAGGACAAGGAGGAAAGGAGAGAAGAGAGAACGGAAGGAGGGGCGGGAACGGCGCTTGCACGCCCACCCACCGTCTTTTCCCCGCCGCGGCTCTAAAGAGACGAGTTCGTGTGCTCGTCATTTTCTGGCATACGCCCGTCCCTGATGGCACGGATGGGGCGCAATGCTGCGAGCTGGGTTCCTGGCAGAAATACATCAGGGGCCAAGTGTCCAAACATGGTGCCGATACGCCTCCTCACGGATACATCGCCCGCAAGGGATTGTGGCCCCTGGCAGGCGCGCGAACCCCGTTGCAAGAGCGTGCGAAAGTAGCTCGCGCGAGCTCATGTAACATAAATGTTGGAAAACCAGTGGTTTTTTTTTTAGGATTCGGACACAACAACAACAACAACCATTTTAAGGCTGTACGCTCTTACTTGCCCGCGAGTCATTCAACACGTATACCCTACACCCTCGATACCCGCCCTCTTCGTCTTCGATCACACCCCTTTCGGGGAGATTATTTCTCTTTGCTGGGGCCGGCGGGCTTAGACGTACGGGCAAACCGGAACGGGCGGACAATCCTTCGGGGGCGTACATCTTCTCTGCCCGCCATTGGAATTGGCGCGGGCCCTGCAAGAGGAGGAGGGGAAGAACGAGGGAGAGTGGGAGGAAGGGGAGGGGGAAGGACGAAGGAAGAGGGAAGATACCACGTTGTGAAGGCGTCCTTGGCGCGTGCGTGGTTCCTGAGCGCCGAAACGCAATTCCAGAATAATTTGTGAGGACGTCGCACGCGAGAGCGCAGTCCTGAGTACATTGTGAGGAAATCTCAGGCGGAAGCGGGGGCCCTGACTAAGTTGCGAGGAAGTCTCAAGCGGGAGCGCCGTTCCTGAGCAAATTGCACGGAAGTCTCAGGCGGGAGCGGGGGTCCTCACTAAATTGCGAGGAAGTCTCAGGCGGGAGCGCCGTTCCTGAGTCAATTGCGCGGAAATGTCAGGCAGGAGCGGGGGTCCTGAGTAAAATTCGAAGAAGTCTCACGCGGGAGCGCCGTTCCCACGTAAATTGCACGGAAGTCTCAAGCGGGAGCGGGGGTCTTGATTACATTGCGAGGAAGTCTCAGACGGGAGCGCCTTTCCTGAGTAAATTGCGCGGAGGTCTGAGGCGGGAGCGGGGGTCCTGAGTAAAAATCGAAGAAGTCTCAAGCGGGAGCCGTTGTTGTTGTAGCCCGGGGGACAGGGGCACAATAATTATTCTTCAAGAATGAGAATTCAACAACAACAACAACAACAACAACAACAACAACAACAACAACAACAACAACAACAACAACAACAACAACAACATCAACAGCAGCAGCAGCAGCAGCAGCAAACAACAACAACAACAACAACAACAGCAGCAGCAGCAACAACAACAACAACAACAACAACAACAACAACAACAACAACAACAACAACAACAACAACAATCCGCCGGCCCCCTTGTGGGGCCACCAGGCTGTAGGCCGA